CATTAAGGAAATAATTGTTCAGTACATCAAAGCCTCATGGGCACATATTACAAAGCAAATCAATACCAAAAGACACTACGCATCCTCTTTGGAGCTATGTAGGTGTTGAGATTCCTTTCCTCGTGCAGTAGGCGGGTGAGCTCCAAGACCTTCTTTTCACTAGCATGCAGACTGGTCTCAAGAGAATTCTGTTCTTCCTTAAGCTGGATCCAGCTCTTCTGTATTTCTTCCCAGGATGTGGGCATGTCAGGATGTTGAATGGTGTAGGACACCTCTCCTTCAAAGACTGGCTCTTTGATCACAGGGAGCATATGAGGATAAGGCATTATTAACTTCTGGGAGCGGGCTCGTACCCACTTGAGATAAGGTTCCAATGGGATGGAATTCCTGTGCCCTAGTGTCTTGCTGTCTATCTTACTGGGCATCCTCCAAGCTCTGATAAATCTCTGGCGAAGTCCTTGTGCATCATTGTCGAAGTCAAAAACTATGTCAGGAATTAACATGTCATGAGGGCCATCCCTCCGAGCATAACCAAACTGTCTCCAAGCCAGGCATGGGTTGTAAGTAATACCTCCTCTGATTCCAAGTAAAGGAACATTAGGGTACTCCCCGCAACGATCAATGATAGTGACATCCTCTCTGGACCGAGGGCACCAATGTATATCTGCATGTGTAAGAGTCATCAACCGTTGTGACCATCTCAAACCCCGCTCGTTCTTCAAAACTGATTGTGGAAGGTGCGAAATAAACCACCTTCCTAGGAGAGGAGTGCAGCACATAAGGACACCTCTTTTTCTCATGGTTCGAGTGTAACATGAGTGAAGGATGTCCCCCAGCAACGTAGGTATAGGATTCCTGGACATGAAGATCTGGACAGCATTGATATCTATAAGCTGATCTGGGTTAGGGAACAACACCAAACCATAGACAAGGAGGGCCACAACTTCTTCAAAAGCTTGTAAGTCAAGGGAGTTCCAACATTCCTGGGCCTTTACAAACAGAAACCTAGCTAAGAACCCTTTGATGCCACTTCTAACTTCCCAATGTCCCTTGAGGTCAGATGATTGTAGGTGTAAGGCTTTAGCAATTTCTTCAAGCTTAGGTTCCTTTTCCGTACCGTTGTAGGGTAGTTGATCAAGGATAGGGATCTTCAGAAGCCGGGAGAACTCTTCCAATGTAGGTACCAGTTGATAATCCAGGAAAGTGAAACAGTGATGCAGAGGGTCAAAGAACTGGAACAGGACCTTTATCATATCTTCCTCAATGTTGGTATTGACCAAGCTGATGAGTCTTCCATGTCTTTCACTGAATGAAGAGCTCTCGGGAATCCTGGATATAAGTTCCTTAAGCTGAGGAGGGATCCTTACAAGGCTGATTTGAATTGTCTTTCTGCGAACAGTTTCCATGTCCTACAAAACAAGAACAAAGATGAAGATTTGAACCCCTGAAATGGTTAGTCAATGCATATGATGCTGGATGATGTCATGATGCTATGATTAAACACACCACAAATATTTACAAAGGCAAACATGTAAGGCACACAAGTCACACAAGACAAGCCCTTAGAGTTTAGGCCAGCATGGGGTCTGGGTATTACCCTCTTGAAGTTGGTGGGATCAACCTGTCCTATTAGAAGTAACCGGGTTCTAAGGGTCCCAATATCACTGGATTGCTTTCATTGTTCATCGTTTCGATTTAGCCACTGAACTGGCAACCAAAATATTCCAGGAAAGCAACCCTCAATTGAGTGTAGTATCGAGTATCAACCAACCTCGGACTGCACCAAAGTCAGTTATCTCACTACCCTAAAGAGGCCAAGATAGTTCAATTAAGGTTCCTAAGGTTAGTTGATGCTTCACGACACCACATGGAGGCCCCGTACTCTCCTTGACTGAACTCAAGGGTTACCGGTACACACCAAAGTGCCACATCAACGTAGCAGACTGTTTCAACCATGTCGGTATACCCCGCACAGTTCCCTCACAGCCTTGTTGCTACATTTTAAGAAGGTATCCCCAGATCCGGGTTAGGATCTATAGAACTCCCAAGACAGTCCCACAATTTAAAGCAAACAAGTCAAAGCAATTGAAAACACAGTGATCTTAGTCCTAAGATACACCTCACTTTAAAAGTTTATCCCCAGCAGAGTCGCCAGTTCTGTGATCGGTGGATTTAGAACTGACTGTTTAACGCTAGTTCGCGAAATGTCGTGGAAGCAAGAGTCACCACCGTCTTTTATTTTCTCCAACATGGACAGGACAAAAGCACAGCAAAATTCCTTATGAGATAGTTTCTCGGTTCGGGAGGTAGATTTATAGAAAGGGAAGGTGTTAGCACCCTTTCTATCCATGGTTATCCATGGGCTCTTAGATACTTGCTCATTGTGTTTTCAAAAGTGTTTGCTTTTCAATTGTGAGTGAGTTTGAAAAAAGTTTCGTTTAAAGATTTCGGAATAACTCTTGTATCAGTCCTCAAGAGTGTTTGAAAAATTGTTTTGAAATCCTTTTTTTGAAAGTGTCGGTGTGAAAAGAGTTTTGATTTGTTTTTGAATAGAGCAAGTATCTACGAGTCATCCACCTACCCTAAGGAATTAGGCTGTGTAAATGTCCTTAAGGTAGTGCCATCCCACCATTGAGAGGTAGGTAGCACCACCGTTGGAGGTGTTCGGGTCAATTCGTTTGTAGGGACAGTGTGGTCACCAGAGCAACAGTAGGACACCTTAGAAGCTACCCTTATGCCATTGATCCTTTTTAATTCCGAGGCAACCGTTTCGAGGCAACTGGATCATGTCATGGACATAAGGACTTACTAAAACGTCCTATACTCGACGACCACGTTTCGAAGGCAAGGCAACAGTGAGGCGTACCCTAAGAGTGGTGTGTGAATTTGTGTGTTGTTTTCCGTTTAACAATTATCTTTTGATCATGGCATGGTGAGCTACGCTTGTTTTTTAATTTAGGCCATACATTCTTTCATGCAATTAGAATTTAAAAGTGCGGAAATTTAAATGCGGAAAGTAAAATCCTACGCTATTACAAGGCGCGGGTCTATACATCGCCAAATTACAAAGACCCGTTTGGTAAAAAAATGCGGAAACACTACAAGAAAATTAGTGTTTAACGACACAAAAATTGCGACAGTTATGTGATAACTGTCGTAATTGACATATAGAGACAGTGTTTACGACAGTTGACACCAACCGTCCCTAATATTTATTTTGCGACGGTATATTTAACCATCATAATATTATTATTACGACGGTAAAACAACCGTCGGCCCCCATTTAACACTTTTAACATTGATTTTTCACCAACAACTAGTCACGACGGTAAAATTAACCGTCCTAAAAGGCATATCACGATGGTAAAGCACCCGTCGCACCCTTAAACCTTTTACGACGGTAAAATTATCCGTCCTAAAATTCATTTCACGACGGTAAAACAACCGTCGCACCCAAAACCTTTAAAAATTCTCATGGGCACGACGGTAAAACACCCGTCACCGTAAAAAAGTTAAAAAAAGCTGAGTTGTACCGCAATTTGATTTTCCGGGCATACGAGAAAAGAGAACTATGCCAATCCCCAATCACCAACTGAAAGAGAAACAAAACTTCCCTATTCTCTAAAGCTTGCCACCCCGTGGAAGGTCATCTAATGTTGTGGCGGCCTTGAGCTCTTCTTCTTTCCGGTGGCCGGGTTAGCACCCCTCTAAGCCCCTGTACCTGAAACAGATGCGGTTTAGCAGGGGCTTGCCAGGTATTTCCTGGGGTTTTCCATCCGGGCTTTAATGCGGCTAGAGACGGATCCAACGAATAGCTAAGGTTCGTTGACGATCCCTGGCTACAGCTAGCTCATTTCAAGAAAGCAAACAAGTGCCCGTAAGGCGTTCCTCTAGTAAGGCACCATCACCAGCGCACATGAGAAAAGGCCGTTGTTGCATAGCTCAGGTCGGAGCAACGCGCCATCGGACAGCAAGGGCAGTGATTAGCGAATCTATAGTTTCTGGTTCCTCTCTTTCTCGTCCGGGGTAGACGGGTCTACCAGCTACAATCATTTTCTACTCCTGCGTTCACTTTTTCTACTCACGGTGCCGTTCATGCCGTTCTTCTTCACACCGAAAGAAACCCCTTGACACCGAAAGGAATCTCTTCAAACCGCTCATCTTCACACCAAAAAACGCACAGCAAGCAGTTTAACATCCTCTGCGTTCATCTCTTCAAACACAGTAAGTTTTATGTATCACTTTTTGCATTGTTCTCATCTCTCTCATTCTCTGCCATTGATTTCAGCATTGGAGATTCACTTGAATCTTATGGTTGAGCTCTTTGTGATGATTGATTTTGAGTTTGAATATATTGAATTGATGTTAGATTTTCTAATTTTTTGTTTTAGGGTTTTCATTTTCTGACATCTTTTGATCACTATCCTCAGTAGCAGCAGCAACTTCAGAGGGATTTTGTTCATCTGTCTTGGCGGCACCATTATTTCCATTGGCTTGTTCATCAGTGCTATTCTTTTCTGAAGGAACTTCCTCAGAAATATATATATAGTTTAATATGGCAATGGTAAGTAACCCATATTTTCTTTTGATAATTGTATTCTATACTCTTTTAGAATAGTACTAAAATGATGCTCATCAAGTGTTTGTTGTAATGCTCAACTCAAGGTATGGCTGAGTTTATAGAATTCTGATATGCTATGCTATATAGTGCCTAGTGGGTGCCTAGTGCAGAGTGTGATTCTGACCATTTAAGCAGGTCTATATATGTTCATCTCCGGATCGGTCCATACGCTTGTGCATAATGGAATTACGGGTACAATTGGATCTTTTTAAAGATAGTTCCATATTAGTATATAATCCTTGGCTTTAATTTCTTTGTTTTCTTCTTAAACAGTGGCTTCCCTCTTTGGTTACATTTTATTCCGGGAATTAAGTTCAGAACTGATAATGAACCATTCAAGGCAGAAATGAAACGGTTTACAGCAAAGATTGTGGATTTGATGAAGCAAGAGAATCTCTATGCATCACAAGGAGGACCTATCATTTTATCTCAGGTTTCATTCTCTTAAAATCATCAAAATACAAGCCAATTTTTCTTTTTTTTGGGGAATTAAGGCCCAGTTATTTGTTTTGTAGATTCTTAATGACCTAATGCATAGTCCTTTAATGTTAAAATATTTACTTGTTTATTCCAGATTGAAAATGAGTATGGAAATATTGATAAAAGCTATGGTCCTGCTGCTAAAACCTACATCAATTGGGCAGCATCGATGGCTACATCTCTTGATACAGGCGTTCCCTGGGTTATGTGCCAGCAAGCAAATGCACCTGATCCAATTGTATGTTTTCTCCTTTTAGCTATCCACAGTTTTATGCAGTTTATGTTTTAGCGGAGTATATTTTTTTAGTCAAAGCCAAAAGAATAGGCTCTGTGCTCATCACACGGTTTGATTTTACTATCTTTATGATAGAGCTATCTTACCATGTTGATGTCTACATTCATCCTACTTGGTTGTTTATTTTCATAAGATTGTGTCTTGAATGCTTATAGATTAATACGTGCAATGGATTTTACTGCGATCAATTCACGCCAAACTCTAACCAGAAACCAAAAATGTGGACTGAGAATTGGACTGGATGGTTAGTAGCGGCTTTTCCTATTTATATCATTTTGTAATTTGAATGGAGTACTCAAAATATGATTTGATTCAACTTTTTCCCCCTATTGCAACCTTTTGAAATCATAGGTTTCTTGCATTTGGAGGTGCTATGCCGTACAGACCTGTAGAAGATCTTGCATTCGCTGTTGCACGTTTTTTTCAGCGAGGTGGAACTTTCCAAAATTACTACATGGTAATGCAACCTCACATGTAGTACTATTGTCAAAGAGTGATTATAACTGTGCTAGAATTTGATCAAACGTTATTGTCTCATAATATGCTACTTACTACAAAATGTTATCAGATAACGGCGGATGCTGCGCTGTAGCACTGCAGCATAGCTGAGTTTTAACAAACCCCTATTTTTTGCTATTCCCTATTGACAATGTCGCATGTAGTTTAAACTCAGCTAATATGTAAGATAGTAAACCAACTGATACCCCAACTTTTTTTGCTTGCTTGCTCTGAAATAGTACCATGGAGGGACTAACTTTGGCCGAACAACTGGTGGACCTTTCATTTCTACAAGTTATGATTATGATGCACCTATTGATGAGTATGGTATGCAATCTTTCAAATTTCATCTTTATTTTGATGGTATAGAAATATAGAAACTAGCTTGCTTATTCAATCAAGAAGATAAATAAAAAGAGATTGCAACTCAATGTTATTCGATATATAGAAGACAGTAAAAATGAAAAACGTGTTATTGCCTGATGCAGGAATTATTAGACAACCCAAATGGGGGCATCTTAAAGATTTTCATAAGGCCATAAAACTTTGTGAAGAAGCACTTATAGCTACTGATCCAACAATTTCATCTCCTGGTCCAAATCTAGAGGTAATAAATAATAGGCACTTCGAAGCTTTCATCATAGTTTGCTGGTTTAAGTTTTAAGTTAATCACTGACATGAATGGTTTCGTTATATCTCTTAATATTTACTTTTCAATCTCAGACTTCAGTTTACAAGACAGGATCTGCATGTGTGGCCTTCCTTGCTAACACCGGCACGAACGATGCAACGGTTACCTTCAACGGCAATTCATATCACTTGCCTGGATGGTCTGTGAGCATTTTACCAGATTGCAAGAGTGTTGTTCTAAATACTGCAAAGGTTTGCCTCATCAACTTCCAGTCACACTATATAGTTCAATTTACTAAACTAATTATTAAACTTCTTGTGATTAATCAATCTATTGGTGATATCTTTTCTTCTATTTATTCTTTCCAAAGTAGCATAAACTAAAGTTATTTTTTCGTACGACAGATTAATTCTGCATCTACGATTTCAAGCTTCGCAACTGAATCTGTAAAAGAAGAGGTTGATTCTTTGGGGAGTTCAAGTTCGGGATGGAGTTGGATTAGTGAACCGGTCGGTATTTCAAAGGATGATGCATTCACAAAATTTGGACTTCTTGAACAAATAAACACGACTGCAGATAGAAGTGACTACCTGTGGTATTCATTAAGGTATAAGGAATTTCAAGGTTGAAATAGCTTTATCTTGACGATTGTTTTTCCGTGCCCATGTTAACCTTTTTCAAATTGTTTTGAAGCATTGATGTTGAAGATACTGTCGGTGCTCAACCTGTTCTTCACATTGAATCCCTTGGTCACGCCCTTCATGCTTTTATAAATGGGAAACTTGCAGGTATCTTTCTTTACTTCAATGACGTGTTTCACGAATCATGTAATGAAATTTCGATACGTTAATACCGAGAACTTTTTCAGGGAGTGGAGTAGGAAACAGCGGAAACGCTAAGGTCAAGGTGGACATCCCTATTACACTTGTATCTGGAAAGAACAAAATTGATCTCCTGAGTTTAACAGTGGGACTACAGGTTCGTATTTTCTGATTATAAAGTACAAAATATGCATCTACGTGTTCATTTCTCAGCTAATGTGAATTTTATGTGCCACAGAACTATGGAGCTTTTTACGACCTAGTGGGTGCGGGGATCACTGGTCCAGTAACATTGAAAGGTTTGAGAAATGGAAGTACTGTTGATCTCTCCTCACAGCAATGGACATACCAGGTTAGTCTTGGCTTAACTTAAGGCCTGTTTTTGTTTCTCCTTCTGAGTTTCTTTAATTAAGTCATAGATTACATGTCTGTATTTTTGTGAATGCAGATTGGTCTTCAAGGTGAAGATTTAGGTTTGTCTAGTGGAAGTGTTGGACAGTGGAATTCACAATCTAACTTACCTACAAATCAACCTTTGACTTGGTACAAGGTAATCTTAATAAGAATAGAGCATTTGTTAAAATTCTCATGTTTTTCTTCAGCTGACTAATCTCAATGTGTTATATTAGACGAACTTCATTGCTCCTTCTGGAAGTAACCCAGTTGCAATTGATTTCACGGGGCTGGGAAAAGGAGAAGCCTGGGTGAATGGACAGAGCATTGGACGATACTGGCCAACATACGTTGCTCCAACTTCTGGCTGTACTGACTCATGCAATTATAGAGGATCCTATTCTTCATCGAAATGTCTCAAGAACTGTGGAAAACCATCACAAATATCATTTCTCCTTTTTTAATGAGCTTCGTTTGGAATGATGATGTTGTCTGCTGTTGATCTAAATCTCACAAAAAATAAACCTAACATTCACTATTTTAGGTCCTTTTGTCAATTTGCTCGTTGCTGACGGATCCAAATCCCGACGACCCTAAACCCTAAACCCTAAAAGGGACAAGGCGAGGACAAAGGAAATTGAACTCTTAATGCAAATGCAGAATTTTAGTGGAAGACAGGTATATTATTTTGACGCATTTAAAGTTAAATTTTATGAGTATTATTTTAAAGATTATTATTTTAATACCTTTTTTTAGGGATTGGAATCACCCGCTGATGGTAGACGTTCATCTGAGTCTAGCTACCGTATTGGAGATAATGGAACTTCAGGGGGGACAAATTAGACTTTGCTATGATCGAGATAATTAGATTGTGAACTTTCTCATGTATTTTTGGCATAATGATACTTATTATTATAAGATTAGGAATTGATATATTTTGGGTTTTTTGTACTACTTGACATGATTATGGAACTCGCATTTTACATGATTATGGAACACATTTTTTTGGATATTATAATGCTTATTTGATGTTAAATATTTTTTATTGAAATTATTTTTACTATATTACAAAGTGATAGAAAATAAAACAAAAAATAATACTATAAATAAATATATTAAAGAAGAAATAATTTAAAGAAAAAAATAACACAAAAAAAAACTATATTTAAAATTTTTTACATAGATAATAATTTAAATAAAAAAAATATATAATAGAAAAATAAAAAAAAATCAAGACATAAACAAAAGTCATGGCGACAGTACCGAACCGTCGTAATCAACAAAAGTCATGACGGTATCGAACCGTCGCCAAAAACAATTTAATCAATTTCAAAAGATATTCACGACAGTATCGAACCGTCGCCATCAATAATTAAAAGAAACTCAAAAGATAGTCACGACGGTATCAACCCGTCGTAAACTTGAACGACAGTTTTTGTAACCGTCGCGAAATAGGTTGGGGACACACACTTCTGTGACGGTAAAGCAACCGTCGTGGAAAGCAAATTGCGACGGTTTTAACCGTCGTAATCTACAAAAATACCTGTCGCAATCTGCCAATTTTCTTGTAGTGAAAGTAAAGACGGAAAGATAAACCTAATTACTATTACATCTGAGAAACAGTTACATAATGATCGAAAGAAATAATGCGTGAAAAGAATTAAAATTAGGACGTCCGAGGGTTTTGACCCTTTGCATGAAATTAAATTAAATTAAAGTCCAATTAATTATTTAATTAAAGAAAAGAAAGTGTTTTAGTGTTTTTTTGTATTTATGAAAAATAAAGAACAAGAATTAAAAGGAAACCCTAAATCTAGATTATTTTAATTATTAATGAAAATATTAAAGTTAACCTAATTTACTAGTTAATTAATTTATTTACATGTTTATTTACAAAATTAATGATAATTTATAATAATGATAAATAATGATGATTAATAATTTATTAAAGAAAAAGATGAATATGTCAAAAAAACCTAATTCTAGATACTTTTTACTTATTAAGAAAAAGATTAACGTTTAAAAACCTAAATTAAACTAAGTTAATTGTTAGAGTTTATTTACAAAAAATTGGTTAGTGCTTCCCCATTTCAAGGAGTATGTATTGACATTGCTTCCCCATTTCAAAGAAATAACCTTTAAACACTTCCCTAGAGAGGAGAATTAGTTGGCGGACGCGCTAGCTACAATGTCATCTATGTTCAAGGTTAATTGGGACCACGAAGCTCCCCAGATTATCATTGAAAGATTGGACAAACCTGCACATTGCTGCGACATTGAGACTGAAGAGGTAACAGAAAAAACCCTGGTATCATGAGGTGAAAAGGTATCTTGAAGCTCAGGAATACCCTGAGGGTGCATCTGTTAATGACAAGAAGTTTCTGAGAAGGTTCGCGGCGAAGTTCTTCATCAGCAATGGCATTCTTTACAAGCGTAATCATGATTCGACCTTACTGTGTTGTGTGGATAAGAATGAAGCAGAAAAGATCATGACAGAATTACATGAAGGTACTTTCAGAACTCATTCCAATGGACATACCACGACAAATAAAATCCTTCGGGTTGGATACTATTGGTCCACAATGGAAGCCGACTGTTATCAGCATTCTCGGACATGTCACAAATGCCAAGTCTATGCTGATAAGGTGCACATACCTCCAGTACCTCTGAACATATTGACGGAACCTTGGCCTTTTGCAATGTGGGGCATTGATATGATAGGCGAGATTAGACCTACAGCATCCAACGGGCATTGTTTCATCCTGGTAGCAATTGATTACTTTACGAAGCGGGTTGAAGCAGCTTCCTTTGCTACTGTAACCAAGAACGTCATGGCACGGTTCATTCGGCACAATCTGATCTGTCGATATGGTGTACCAGAGAGGATCATTACGGACAATGGTACCAATCTTAACAGCAAGATGATCACTGAGCTCTGCGAGCAATTCAAGATACAACATCATAACTCTTCTCCCTACCGGCCGAAGATGAATGGGGTTGTAGAAGCGGCTAATAAAAACAATAAGAAGATTGTGCAGAAGATGACGGTGACATACAAAGACTGGCACGAGATGTTACCATTTGCTCTTTATGGGTACCGTACCTCAGTGGGGACGTCAACAGGGGAAACACCTTATTCCTTGGTATATGGTATGGAGGCAGTCTTGACCATTGAAGTTCGGATACCCTCACTTCGGATCATGAAGAATGCGGGTTTGAGCGAAGATGACTGGATTCAGACCCGACTTGATCAGCTGAACCTAATCGACGAAAAGATACTTACTGCTATTTGTCATGGTCAAACGTACCAAAAACGGATGATCAAGGCATTTAACAAGAAAGTTAGACGAAAAGAGTATCAAGTTGGGGATCTGGTAATCAAGCATATTATTCTACCTCAAGGTGATCCCAGGGGCAAATGGACCCCTACTTACGAAGGGTCATTTGTGGTTAAGAACGTTTTCTCAGGAGGAGCTATGATTCTAACCACCATGGATGGTGACGACCTTCCTCACCCCGTCAATGCAGACATAGTGAAAAGATACCACGCATGATCAAAGACCCGCTAGGTTGATTGGCCTAGGCAAAAATAAGGGCTTCCCATCGAACCAAAAGGGTTCGGGCAAAAATAAGGGATGAAAATAAATAAAAAATTTGTACACCCGGCAAGTCGAAAACCTGAAAAGGCGGCTTGGGCAAAAAAGGGTATCCCGGTGGACCAAAAACCTGAAAGGGCGGCCCAGGAAAAAGTTAGGGATAAAAGCGTAACACTATGGCTCATTAGATCACCTTGCATCCAGACTTCGGTATCGACCATCAAGCTCAGAAGGCACTGATCAATCAGATTTATCTTCGACCAGTAGTAAAGTGATGAGATGCTCGAGGACATAAGGGCAATAGCAGAGTTGGAACCCAGTGGGATTATTCACATAGCTGTTTTTTTTTCTTTTCACAAATTGTGTAAATTCTATTATTCGGCGGCGTTCTCTTACTAGGACGTCAGCCTCTTGTACAAAAATGCCTATTTACAGGCCAAACTTCAAAATCAATACAAATTCATTTTCAGACAAATTTCAAACTGTTTTTCCTTTATCTGTTTTGTTTTGCAAAGAACGTCCATTGTTCATTTTTTATATATGCATTTGACATTAATTGCCGATCATAAATATTTACATACGAAATAAAGGACGAATTACTGGTAACATCAGAAACAGGGGCATAAGAAGTGTCCAAGCTGCGTAGTTGCTTTGTCCATCAAGTACAAAGGTAGATTCAGCTGAAGAATATGGCTAAGATACCTTCACTCCCCGCAGAATAAGACAGTAATGGTAGCTCTCTCAGCTGAGACTTATAACTACGAACAAATCAGCAATACTCTCCCCAAGCAGAGTTGGTCTACCATCAGCCCTAAAAAGGCTTGGTATCCCCAGAAGGTCTTAATATTCCCCAGCGGAGTATAAGAATATTCCTCAACAAGTATAAGAGTATCTCCGGCAGTCTTAATATTCCTCAACAGAGTATAAGAATGTTCCCCGGTAGAATACAAGGTATCCCAGTGGAGTCAATATTTCCCAACACGGTCTAAAAAGCTTCCCCAATGGAGTTGAATCATCATCCCCAGTAGACTCTGGAAGTTTACCCCCTGCGGAGTACAAAAATAAATCTCCCCAGCCAAGTTCAAAGGATCATTCCTAGCAGAACTCAGAGATTCATCCCCACAGGAGTCTAACAGGGTTATTCCCAGCAAGTTACAACTGGAAGATCATCCACAGTGAAGTTCTTTCCTTTCCCCAAGCAAGAGTTCAATCCTCAGCAGATTCAGTATCACCAGCAACGGTAACCCATCCCCAGCGGATTTTATCAGCGGAATCCCCAGCGGAGTTTATCGTTAAAATCCTCAGCAGAGCATCTCTTCCCCACAGAGTAATTCCCCTCAGAATAATATCTTCGTCAGTTTATTCCCCAACGGAGATCTCTTCTCCTACAGGTTTATTCTCACAATCATCTTTGTTCACCATCCTCAGAAGAAACGAAGCATTCAACTCTATTCTCCAGCAGCTATTCGGGATTTATTTTCCCCAGCTAAAGTATTACATTTCCATACATCATGATACATGCATATACGCATCATACAAATACAAACTCATTTATGTTGAGAACATCATTGCTTGATCCATATCATGCATTGCATATGACTGACCTTTACCTTTCAGGAAAGATGCAGTTAAGTTCTCAGCTATGTCAAAGGAGATTGTGATCGGTGGATTTAGAACTGACTGTTTAACGCTGGTTCGCGAAATATCACGGAAGCAAGAGTCGCCACCGTCTTTTATTTTCTCCAACATGGACAGGACAAAAGCACAGCAAAATTCCTTATGAGATAGTTTCTCGGTTCGGGAGGTAGATTTATAGAAAGGGAAGGTGTTAGCACCCTTTCTATCAATGGTTATCCATGGGCTCTTAGATACTTGCTCATTATGTTTTCAAAAGTGTTTGCTTTTCAATTGTGAGTGAGTTTGAAAAAAGTTTCGTTTAAAGATTTCGGAATAACTCTTGTATCAGTCCTCAAGAGTGTTTGAAAAATTGTTTTGAAAGCC